GCCATGTTAAAGAGTATCTGTGAAGTTCTAGATTTGGAGAGATCGGGTGTAAATAGTGAACTAGTGACAAGGATTTTGAATTTTTTAATGCATCCAAAGCCTTCTGGCAAACCATTGCCAAAATTTAAAAAATCCTCTAGCAAAGGCAGTAAAAAGGAACGGAACAGTTCTGGAATGACAAGGAAGGCTAAGTGAACCAAATGTACTGAAATTCCATCAGATGAATCTAGTAGTGATGAAGACCCAAAGAAAAACAAAGAAGAGTCTTCAGACAATGAAGATAAAGAAAGTGAAGAGGAGCAGCCAAAAAAGACATCTAAAAGAGAAAAGCCCAAACAGAAAGCTACTCCTAAAAGTAAAAAATCCGTAAAAAGTGCTGACGTTAAGAAAGCTGATAGCAGTACCACCAAGAAGAATCAAAACAGTTCTAAAAAAGAAAATGAATCTGAGGATAGTTCAGATGATGAACCTTTAATTAACAATTTGAAGAAACCACCTACAGATGAAGAGTTAAAGGAAACAGTAAAGAAATTATTGGCCGATGCTAACCTAGAGGAAGTCACAATGAAGCAGATTTGCAAAAAGGTATATGAAAATTATCCTGCTTACGATTTAACTGAAAGAAAAGAGTTCATAAAAACAACCGTTAAAGAGCTCATTTCTTGAGACAGAGGACAGAGACTGAGGACTTGTTCCCATAGATTTGAAGATCTGATTTATACCATTATACCAGCAAAGAGAGAATGTATTTTATTTTCTAAATCCTCGTTAAGCATCATATTGGTAGACCTCCTTACTGCTGACCCTTTTATCTTGAGTGTTACACAAATTTGAGTTTGTTGTTTTAAATTGCATTTCTCTGCAGTTTTTAGTTTGAACTCTTGTATGGCAGTACCTGTCCCTTGCTTTATAGTTGTATTTTGTACATTTTGCATTTCTTTATATAAGGTCATAGACTCTGAACTGGTATGGTTTCTAGTGCACTTAATAATAGCCTGCTTAAGACATTCTTTTTAATCAAGTAGAATAAAAACTATTGTGGCTAGCATTTATACATGCAGAGACTATTGCAGTATTTAGTATATGAAATACTTTGAATACACATCTGTCCTGTCAGTGTCAGTGTTCAGTATATTAGAAATACACAGGCTACAGCTGTCCAGACAACTGAATTGGAACTTTTCTTTTGCATGTATATATGTGTCTAATTGTCAGCATGACAAAAGTGGCAGATTCTATTTTTGTATTTTTAAAAACCAATTTGTTGTATATAAAGTTTTTTATTTGTCTTGTGCAAATCACTTTTTAAACTCACACAGGCAGGGGTGGGATGTCAAATGTCAGTGTTCAGCCAGGTGGGATGATGGAGCAGAGAAAGGCAGAGTCCAGTGACGGGACACAGGAGCAGTTCCCTGCTCCACCTTGAACATGTCATTAGTGTGTATGTAATGTTAGTGTTAACTCTGCAAGTAAAGTGTCTATGGAGAAATTTTATATTAAGGACAGACCAACACATCAAAGCTTCAAAACCTTTGGGAAAGGGTGGGATTGAGTACAAGCACATTTGGGTTATCATAATGAACTGATTTTTATTAAATGCGTTTGTCCATATGAAATGGAGATATTAATACAAAACCTGGCCACCTTCATAATTAGGATAAGATCACCAGGTATGATGCCAGAAGATTACAAGTAGGCAATAGTGGGTTTTCTTCACAATGTGTTTCTCGAAAGCATTCATAGAAATTTCATTTAAAAAAATGTAATGTATTATGGAATCAGGCTGCTGTTTTTTAAATTTTGGCCAATCAAGGTGATCAACCTATGGACCACTCCCAGATAAGAACACTGTCTTTTAAACTGACTGCAATCAGTTCATTATATGCCTCTGACTTTTAAAATAAAACATGCTGCTTATGGCAGAATTAGACTCTTTTTTAAAAATTATTTTATTAATTTATTATTATTATTTTTCACATGAATTTTGCTAGAGAAAGACACAGAGAGGGAGGGAGAGAGAGAGAGAGAGATCTAGTTGCCAGTTTCAGGACTTGAACCGTGGTTGGACATGTGGGAATTCCAACACCTTAACCACCACGCCACCTGCTGGCCCCCAGAATTAGACTCTTGATATCAATCGAATGCTTAAAACTATCTGCATCATAGAGCAGAAGCATAAAAATGATATATATTAAATGGCAGTTTTCACAGGTTTGACTTAGGGAAAAGTCCGCTTACTAATTTGAAGGGAATAAGCAACTAAATGAGAACTGACAATTGGCCTTTGATTTAAAATGTCTAATTTGTTCTATAAACCTTGTCAATAAAAATAGTATAAACAAAAAAAAAATACAAGTCATGGAAGAAAATGTTTGCAAAAGACACACCAAGGGACTTTAAAAAGTTCATGAGTAATACAATTTATATATGAGTCTATTTGGGGGCAGAACAAATTTTGCAATCCATGCATAGTTTTCCCCCCATAATACATATGAACTTTTTAAGTACCGTTGTATATGCTCTTCAAAATATGCTAAGAACTCTGAAAACTCAGCAAAAAGAAACAACAAAAATTTTTTAATGGGCAAAAGACCTGAACAGACACCTTACTAAAGATATACAGAGGCAAATAAGCATATGAAAACATATCCCGCTTCATATGTCATTAGAAAATTGTGCAAACTAAAACAGCAATGAGATATCACTACACATATATTTGCCAGATTCCCAAATGAGATATCACTACACATATAATTGCCAGATTCCCAAACACTGACAATACAAAATACTGTCCAGGATGTGAAACAACAGGAACTTTCAATTATTGCTATGGAAGAGCAAAATGGTACAGT